GCTCCCTGCCGGCCTTCCGCTGGGCAAGGATGTGAGCCTGGCCAGACTGGCGCGGAGAAGTGCGGTGAGTGCGGGGGGGGGGGCTGCGTGGGCTGGGCAAAGGCGGCTGTGCTGAGCTCCACTGACAGCCCATTACCCTCACCCCTCAGCCTGTGCAGTCCGGTGCTTCCCCTCCTTTTTCAGAGAGCAAGGTGCCAGTTTCCGTGTCCTGCTTTGTCTGTTCCACCAGCCTGGTCCCTAACCAGCAGCTGTAGCAACTGGCACGCCTGGCTGCCGCTTGTCTAGGCCTCGCTGCTTGCGGACTTGCTTGAGTTCAGGCTGCAAAGCCTCTTCCGGGCAGACCCTCTGCTTTCCCACGCCCAGCCTGGCCCGGAGCTCTGCTTGGCCACTGCTGCTTTTTTCGCAGGGTTGAGCATGCTCCCGGCAGGTCTTTCGGCATTACGGGGGGCGCCACGGCGGCCCGCTGCGGCGATGACGGGCAGGCAGATCGCCCACGCAGGGGCAGGCCGGTTGGGAAGGGGGCAGGCGTGTTGGGATGCTGCATCGCGGGAGCAGTCTGTGACATGCAGGCTACGTGGCATGGCTGGGTTTGTGTTGCTGCTGAAGCCGTGTCATTAATGTCCCTGGTTTTAACTGTGCGCTTCAGTGTTGCAGGAATGTAGGGGGTTTGCATTGAATCTCAAGGGGGCGAGCCTTCAGGGGGGTATTCATAGACTGCTGTGCAGCCCCCTTCCTGTTAATAGAATTGTGCACCCACACTTGCCTTTGGGGTTACTGCAGCTGTGTGCTCACCTGGTTTGCCAGGCATGGAAATGGGGTGATTCCCTATGCCAGGCTCAGCACCCGGTTGCGTACACACACGTCTGTGCAGGTGCCTCCACCTGGCTGGGACGGCGTCTGCCCTTGTTTCCAGTGCGCACAGGGGGATGCTCTTCGCCGTTGGACTTGGGTTTTCTTTCTGTGTTCGCAGGGCTTCGTGCTGGGAGATTTCTGTGCTTTGCTGGCCCAAGCCAGCCGGGCGGCATGCAGCAGGATACTGACCTCAAGGTGAGGAGAAGGGCCTGTGAGTGATCATCCATGAATGTGCAGTGTGCCTGCTTGTACCCAGAACGTTCACAAGGAGGAAGGCGAAAATTTGTTCCTCTTGGTTTCTGAGGACAGGACAAGGAGTAATGGGCTTAAAGTGCAGCAGGGGAGGTTTAGATTGGACATTAGGAAAAAATTCCTAACTGTCAGGGTGGTCAAATATTGGAATAAATTGCCAAGGGAGGTGGTGGAATCTCCCTCTCTGGAGATATTTAAGAACAGGTTAGATAGACATCTGTCAGGGATGGTGTAGACGGAGCTTGATCCTGCCTTGAGGGCGGGGGGCTGGACTCGATGACCTCTCGAGGTCCCTTCCAGTCCTATTATTCTATGATTCTATGATTATTGGGAATGAAAAGCTCCAGTTCCATGGGGAGAAGATACGGTTTTTATCCTCTTTTCTGTGGGAGGTGGGTGCTGTGCAATGATTGTGGCTGTGATCGATGCATATCTGTGGCGGAGACATGGCAAAGACTACGTGGCAGTGGGGACAAAGTGCAGTGAGGGAGATGCAGTAACGGTGCTGGTGCAGTGATTGTGGCTGTGGTTGAGACGGCCCAGTGAGGGAGATGCAGTAACGGTGCTGGTGCAGTGATTGTGGCTGTGGTTGAGACGGCCCAGTGAGGGAGATGCAGTAACGGTGCTGGTGCAGTGATTGTGGCTGTGGTTGAGACGGCCCAGTGAGGGAGATGCAGTAACGGTGCTGGTGCAGTGATTGTGGCTGTGGTTGAGACGGCCCAGTGAGGGAGATGCAGTAACGGTGCTGGTGCAGTGATTGTGGCTGTGGTTGAGACGGCCCAGTGAGGGAGATGCAGTAACGGTGCTGGTGCAGTGATTGTGGCTGTGGTTGAGACGGCCCAGTGAGGGAGATGCAGTAACGGTGCTGGTGCAGTGATTGTGGCTGTGGTTGAGACGGCCCAGTGAGGGAGATGCAGTAACGGTGCTGGTGCAGTGATTGTGGCTGTGGTTGAGACGGCCCAGTGAGGGAGATGCAGTAACGGTGCTGGTGCAGTGATTGTGGCTGTGGTTGAGACGGCCCAGTGAGGGAGATGCAGTAACGGTGCTGGTGCAGTGATTGTGGCTGTGGTTGAGACGGCCCAGTGAGGGAGATGCAGTAACGGTGCTGGTGCAGTGATTGTGGCTGTGGTTGAGACGGCCCAGTGAGGGAGATGCAGTAACGGTGCTGGTGCAGTGATTGTGGCTGTGGTTGAGACGGCCCAGTGAGGGAGATGCAGTAACGGTGCTGGTGCAGTGATTGTGGCTGTGGTTGAGACGGCCCAGTGAGGGAGATGCAGTAACGGTGCTGGTGCAGTGAGAGCAGCAGCGGATTTACGGCAGGGCGAGCAGGGTGGCTGCTCCAGGCCCCGTGCTTCCAGAGGCCCCGCGCATGCGCTGTGTCAAGGGGGGGGCACAAAATTGTGCTGCCCTGGGCCCCGTGGCACACTCATCCGTCCCTGAGTGAGGGAGATGCAGGGACCGTGCAGTAACGGTGCTGGTGCAGTGAGGGAGATGCAGTGACTGTGCAGGTGCAGCGATTATAGCTGGTAGACACGGCCCAGTGAGGGAGACGCAGTAACGGTGCTTGTGCAGTGAGGGAGACGCAGTGACCGTGCAGTAACGGTGCTGGTGCAGTGAGGGAGATGCGGTGACCGTGCAGTAACGGTGCTGGTGCAGTGAGGGAGATGCGGTGACCGTGCAGTAACGGTGCTGGTGCAGTGAGGGAGATGCGGTGACCGTGCAGTAACGGTGCTGGTGCAGTGAGGGAGATGCGGTGACCGTGCAGTAACGGTGCTGGTGCAGTGAGGGAGATGCGGTGACCGTGCAGTAACGGTGCTGGTGCAGTGAGGGAGATGCGGTGACCGTGCAGTAACGGTGCTGGTGCAGTGAGGGAGATGCGGTGACCGTGCAGTAACGGTGCTGGTGCAGTGAGGGAGATGCGGTGACCGTGCAGTAACGGTGCTGGTGCAGTGAGGGAGATGCGGTGACCGTGCAGTAACGGTGCTGGTGCAGTGAGGGAGATGCGGTGACCGTGCAGTAACGGTGCTGGTGCAGTGAGGGAGATGCGGTGACCGTGCAGTAACGGTGCTGGTGCAGTGAGGGAGATGCGGTGACCGTGCAGTAACGGTGCTGGTGCAGTGAGGGAGATGCGGTGACCGTGCAGTAACGGTGCTGGTGCAGTGAGGGAGATGCGGTGACCGTGCAGTAACGGTGCTGGTGCAGTGAGGGAGATGCGGTGACCGTGCAGTAACGGTGCTGGTGCAGTGAGGGAGATGCGGTGACCGTGCAGTAACGGTGCTGGTGCAGTGAGGGAGATGCGGTGACCGTGCAGTAACGGTGCTGGTGCAGTGAGGGAGATGCGGTGACCGTGCAGTAACGGTGCTGGTGCAGTGAGGGAGATGCGGTGACCGTGCAGTAACGGTGCTGGTGCAGTGAGGGAGATGCGGTGACCGTGCAGTAACGGTGCTGGTGCAGTGAGGGAGATGCGGTGACCGTGCAGTAACGGTGCTGGTGCAGTGAGGGAGATGCGGTGACCGTGCAGTAACGGTGCTGGTGCAGTGAGGGAGATGCGGTGACCGTGCAGTAACGGTGCTGGTGCAGTGAGGGAGATGCGGTGACCGTGCAGTAACGGTGCTGGTGCAGTGAGGGAGATGCGGTGACCGTGCAGTAACGGTGCTGGTGCAGTGAGGGAGATGCGGTGACCGTGCAGTAACGGTGCTGGTGCAGTGAGGGAGATGCGGTGACCGTGCAGTAACGGTGCTGGTGCAGTGAGGGAGATGCGGTGACCGTGCAGTAACGGTGCTGGTGCAGTGAGGGAGATGCGGTGACCGTGCAGTAACGGTGCTGGTGCAGTGAGGGAGATGCGGTGACCGTGCAGTAACGGTGCTGGTGCAGTGAGGGAGATGCGGTGACCGTGCAGTAACGGTGCTGGTGCAGTGAGGGAGATGCGGTGACCGTGCAGTAACGGTGCTGGTGCAGTGAGGGAGATGCGGTGACCGTGCAGTAACGGTGCTGGTGCAGTGAGGGAGATGCGGTGACCGTGCAGTAACGGTGCTGGTGCAGTGAGGGAGATGCGGTGACCGTGCAGTAACGGTGCTGGTGCAGTGAGGGAGATGCGGTGACCGTGCAGTAACGGTGCTGGTGCAGTGAGGGAGATGCGGTGACCGTGCAGTAACGGTGCTGGTGCAGTGAGGGAGATGCGGTGACCGTGCAGTAACGGTGCTGGTGCAGTGAGGGAGATGCGGTGACCGTGCAGTAACGGTGCTGGTGCAGTGAGGGAGATGCGGTGACCGTGCAGTAACGGTGCTGGTGCAGTGATTGCAGCTGTGGTTGAGACGGCTCAGTGAGGGAGACGCCGTGAGTAGCTGGAACACGGTTGGGACAGTGCTAGAGCGGGGGCAGTGAGGACCATGCAAGGACTAGCAGGGTGGGGACAGCGCAGGGAGACCAGAGCCGTTTGTGGTGAATTGTGCGTGTGAAGAGAGCAGACTTGGACTTTTCTCCTTCTCTCTGGCCAGTTTCCCGGGGGGGCTGAGTGAGGACGAGGAGAGAGATTTTTGCGCTGCTGGGTTCCCGGTCCTCGCGGAGGATTTTAACGTTGCGTTGGATCAGCTGCACGAGGCTCATTTGCAGGCCGCGGGAGCCCCGAAGGTATGAACCCGTGAGCAGAGGGGGAAAGGTACAAGGCTGAGGGGTTTGTGCAGCCTGCTCTCAGTCTGGATTCCCGACCCTTCCCT